TGTTTTTTTGTTTTTTGTTTTTTTTGGGTTTTTTTTGCCCACCTGCTGCAGGCACCATCAGACATGTTCCTCTTTTCACTTTTGTCACCTCCCAAGTATTTTTTTTCTGCAGCTGTGCTGCCGGGCAGGGACGTTGCTCTGCCTATGGCTCTGAATTTCCAGCTGCAGCTGAATTTCCAGCTATGCCCTGCCCTCTCGTGGTGTGCTGCTGACCCATTCACGCTCRGTTCTTGCTGCTCCAACACCCCTGGAAAGTAAAAAATTTCCTGGTGACCCCCTCAGAGCTGCAGCTGAAGGGCTGGGGTGGGAAATGCTGCACCCCAATTCTCTGCCTCTGGCAGCAGCAGCACACCCCAGCATCTAAAATCAATGAGTTTGCCCCCAAGCACAGCCCAAAATAATATTTTTTGCCACCTGTTAAACATCCTGCCCTTTTACAGGTCCTATAAAGCCTGTTCTCAGGGTCAGATAATACACAAAAAACCTCTACAGCCAATCCTTTCCTCTCCTTAGCCCGAAATGCAGCTTTTAGCCTCTCTTTCAGGCTCTTAATCCAGTCAAGCACCTCTTGTTCTTCTTTCAGACCTTCCCCTCAATAATTTCTCTACTCCCTTTCACAGCGTTTGCTCCATCCAAAGCTCAAATGAATCATTTAACTCTTGTTCAAGAGGAGGTGAGGAGCCCACATTTCCATGGATCCCACCCCTGATGCTGAAWTTAGACCTCTCAGTGCAGCACACAGCAGAAGCAAAGTCTGCAGCAGGCTCAGCTGATGCATTTCCCATCAAGCCAACACACTTTCCCAGGTAATATCAATATTTTCTTTTCCTAAACCTTTTCAGAGAGTAAAAAAAACAAAAAAAAAAAAAAAAACCAACCAAACAAACAAACAAAAAAACAAAAAAAACAAACCACCCCACCTTTTATTTTTACAGCCACGCATTCTTCTTATTTCTCTTATTTATTCTGGATTTTTTTTCAGCTCCCTTGCTTGGGTTTACTTTCTCCCCTGCAACTTYGTGTGATCAGTTTGTCTCAGCATTCCAGGATTTTATTTGACTCAGCTGCAGGATTTCTTTCTTATTTTCACCTCTTTCTCCATCTCTTCCTGTAGCTGTTTTTCCACAGCCTCCTTGTCCTGCTGGAGTGCCCAAGGAGTTTTCACTGCTTTCTGTGTCAGATTTCAACAACCCAGAGGAGGAATTAATCCATCAACCACCCAGACAGTGCAGCACCAGCCCAAATCTTTGGTCTCTGAAAAACCCAATGTGTTCAGCAATCAGAATGTCAAAACCTTCATCAAAAGCTAAACCTCAAGTTATTTCCAAGTCATCCTTGGTTTAGGCCTCTGAATCCTAAATTAAATGAAGWTTTGGGAGCTGCTCCCAAGGTCTTTGTCCACTGCAATGCTCTGAGCAGCAGCAGAGCTCTTCACTCTCCTCATTCCCATTCATTAATAGAGGAAGAAATTATTTTTAAAGTGTGTGAGACATACCCAGACTGAGGAAAAAACTGGGAATCTGCCCCGTTTTCCTTAGAGAAGGGGTCCTGTGCAGCAGCTTTGCAGTGCCAGCACTGCCCTGCACTGCAGAGTCACACAGGAATGGCTCCTCCAGGGACTGAACAGTGATTTTAAACCTCTTGATTGTACTTTTAGCACTTTTTATCAGTAGACCTTCCCCACCCCTGCCAGCCCATCTGAGGCACCATCACATCTACACCTGCTGGAAGTTTCCCACCCAGCAAAGGGATGTTCAGAAATGTCAGGAGTGAGGGAAAGTGTCTTTCCCTTGAACTGTGATGCAGTGATTACTGTTTGTGTCTTTCAGAGCTCATTTCCTGCTAATTGTGGTTTATCATAAACCCAGCAGGCCTCTAATTTCAATGTAGCTTCCAGCCTGGCAGCCCACGAAGCTCCTGTCACACTGGTAATCATTTTGAGGGTCTCCCTATTAATTGAGGCAGTGCAGGGTTTCCACAGGAGCTGTGATATAAAAACCTCTGTCCCCAGCAGGACACGGAGGGAATCAGCAGAGGTGACAGAGCARCCCCAGCTCAGCTGTGGGGACACCTTTCCCTGGGTGAGCTGGGGGTCAGACTCTTCCCCTGAGTGACAAGGGACAGGACAAGAGGAAATGGACTCAAGTTGTACCAAGGGAGGTTTAGATTGGATTTTAGGGAAAAAATCTTCTGGGAAATTTCACCATATGTTCTAGGCAGTGGTGGAGTCCCCATCCCTTGAGGGATTTAAAATGCCTGTGGATGTGGCCCTTGGGGACAGGGGTCACTGGTGGCCCTGGCAGTGCTGTCTCTGTGATCTCAGAGGACTTTTCCAACCTGAATTTTTCTGTGATTCCAGGATGCTGAGGCTTTGCTGTCAGCGCTTCTCCACAGCCTCCTCAGATCCTGAGCTGCACTGGGAATTTTATTCCTGTGAGCATCTGAGAAGAACTGGAATTTATTTTGTCTTTTTGCCCCTGCCTCTCCTTTTTCACAGAGCAGGAAAATCCCACGGGCACGGAACGAAACGCTGCTGGTGTTGGCCACAAGATGGAACTGCAAGACCAGCGCTCCTGCTGGGAATGATCCGCTCATGGAATTGTTAAAGTGGGAAAGAACTCTGAGATCGAGTCAGAGCATTCCCCCAGCACTGCCAAGGCCACCATTGACCGATGTCCCCAAGCTCCACATCCACAGGTCCTTTAAATCCCTCCAGAGATGGGGACTTCACTGTTCTGTGCTTGGCAACCCTTCCAGTGTATAAATTTTTCCCAATATCCAACCTAACCCTCCCCTGATGCAAACTGAGGCCGTGTCCCCTGCTCCTATCAAATGTTCCCCGCTGTGCGAGAGAAAYCGAACAGAAATTGCTTTTTATGACATTTTTGTGTCTTGCCTTTAACRAAACAGCCTTTGGCTTTGTTGGAGRATGGATTCATTTCTTSGCATTAAGATACAGAGCTGCAGCAATTTCAAATTTTCAGTTTGTGCAGCTGAAGCSCAGGACCTGTGTCTGGGCTCAGCAGATAACAATTCCCCATTTCCACGTCAACCAGCGCTTGTTTTCCTTCGCAGGAGATCTTTTGTTTTTGTTGTATTTCCTCCAGACAGCCAAGATGTTTGGCCCAAACACTCAAGGTCTCACAGAAAACACATTTCACATTCCTCTGCAGTAGCAGCGAGAACATTTGGGATGAACCCTGTCCTCCCAGGGAAGCGGCGTCTTTGTCTGATTAGTTTTGTTCAGCAGAGATAAAAGCACAGAGTGAAACAGAGATTTTTCTGGTCTTTGCAAGGAGCCACTGCTGTTTTGCCAGAAAACATGAAAAATGAACACATATCCTGATGAAGTTAATTCCAATTCCTTGGCAAATTGCTCTTTTGGGGAYGTGGCTCACCTCGGTGCTGCAGTGACTGATAACAATAAAACTGAGTTCTTTCACAGCTGGAATTGCCAGCAGGAGGTAAAGGGAACAGGAAGAATTTGGGGTGAGCCTTATCCTTTGTAGAAATTTGTTGTGAAGCCGCTGAATGGCTGTGGCTGAAGAAGAGGGGCTCTGACACCCGGCACTGCCACATCACTTGAGAAAATGTTGTTTTATTTCACKCTGAGTCACCAGATCAATATTATTTCCACAGCCTGAACTAGAGAGCGATATCCTTACCTCCAAAACGCCTTCTTGATGAKTATTTGCTGCTGTTTGATTCTTGGTCATGCCACAACCCAACAGMACAAGGCTGTGTTAGAATCTGATCATATTTTGGAGCTCATCAAGGAGTTAAAGGCATAAAATGCTTCACTTTCAGAAGGATCACAGGCACAAACCAGTGTGAGCTGTTCAGTGCTCAAATTAATGGTAACGACACGTGTTAATTAGCTCTTAGGGCTGGTAAAATAATATCATGAGATCATGGTTGTAGCTGACAACTAAATGGAAATATTTGACCGTGGCAGAYCAGGTTAAGAAACATCTGTAGAGAGTTACCCTGACCACACAGTGTTGATTMCAGATCAAAGCACAGCTGGGTGAAATTTTCAGTGTAAATAAGTTGTTGATTAAATTTTTTACATGTGCAAATGGTGGCAAATTCATTTTTGATTTTCTGTTTCGTGGTCCCATGAGACTTTTTGTTTGTACTGCTAAAATAGTCCATTGTCAGCTCTCTATCCATTTTTGGTCCGTGAGCACTTCTGAACTAGAACTAATCTGTTCTGGTTGCCTAGAATACTTCACTAAATTACTTATTTTAGGCTTTTCAAACCCCAGACTGACTCCTTTTTTAAACAGCACATTATGAATTGGCAAAGAACCTAGAAATGGTCTTTTGTTGCAAAACATCTCACATGTCACCAATCCTATTCCCGTGTGAAACRCTCAGGATTCATCAAGTTTTCAGCATTAATTCTCCATTTAGAAACACATGGAGTGAAAAACACATCCCTGTGGAGGGGGACGGGGAAGAGTTATCTTTAATATTTGTAAATGTTCTTGTGAATCTGCATTGTGGGGTCTAACAGCGAGGCTGAGAGGATGCAGGAAGCTGAGCAGAGGATTCTTTGGGGTTTTGATACCTGTGAGCTGAACAGGAGCTTCATTTGACCCACTCAACACAAATTCAGGGAGGAAATAATCAGTYTAACCCATGAAAGGAAATTATCAAGAGGCAGCATTTTATATTTCTGTTAAAAAGCCCCTCTCTTTGCTGGGATTTTCTCCTGCAGAAGGGTGCAGATTGCAGCTCACAGTGACCCTGAGCAGGTGTGSTTGAAATCAAACATTGAATTGTTGCACATCTATAGAAAAATCTGATCGTTTCTTAGTCAAATAAAAACTTTCTGGTAGTTCAAAATTTCTCAATACCTTCCAAAATGTTTTTTTTTCCTCCTCAAGTCTTTACTTCTCAACCTCTTTAACTAAATGTGGACATTTTTCCTGAAGAGGGAAACAAATAAACTAATGCACCCAAATCCTTAGGTAACACAACCTTTCTGTAAGATACTGCACATCCTGCCTGTTTATGATTTTAATAACATTTCATACAGCTTTTAAAATGCTTATTCCTTCACAGAGGAAAAGAGGAATCCTGCAGAATTTAGCAGAAATATCCATTCAAGCTGTCCATGGCCAGGAATGGACTCTTAATAAAAGTGTTTTCCTGGGAAAATGTGTGAGAGAAGTGAATAAATGGTACATTTTCATACTTACATGAACAAAATATGGAAGGCAATGAATTTGTTATGCTAAACAYCAAATTGGCCTGTTTGGATTTCAGCCATCCGTTCTTAACTGGATTATAAAATTCCCTTTTACAAGAAGCGTGGCTGGGAAAGTCCATTTATCTTGAAGATAGAAATTAGACTTGGAAGTTGAATTGAATGCACTTATTCTTTATGTTTTTTTCAGAATTAAGGTAACACARTGTGAGTGAAGACCATTTGTAAATAGGCTGACAAAAAAGTACAGAATTTTAGGTTGAATTCAATTAAAAATTTTAATGGCTAAATGACATTGATTGATTGGAAAAAAAAAAAAAAAGAGTGAATAACATATGCTGAAACTGAGATTATAAGTGTAACTGTAGGAAAGTGATGCTAACTCTGTGTTGCAGCATCTCAGAGAATTTAAACTTCAACACCCCCATGGAAGAGTGTAAAACACCATTTTTGTCCTAATGTTTGTCCACTCCTTTGGCTGGGGTGAAAGAAGTTGCAATAAACTGATTAAAGCAAGATGCTTTCCATTCTCCCAAGGAAAAGSTCTGAGTAGAGCTGTTGAGATGTGTGCTGACTGAAGGCGAGACTCTCAGGTCACCCATCCTGCTCTTTGGAACGGGAAAAAAAACAAAAAATGTAAATATCCACGCACAAAAATAGAATTTAAAAAAATAAAAACTCCTTTGAGCACTGTAGTCGTGGCACGAAATTTACACGTTTTATGTCCTCTTCCATAAAAAAGCGTCATCCAAAAGGACTTGTGCCAGTTTTGTATTAAAAGGCCTGTAGAAATCTCTTAAAATCGCCTTGGTGGTCGGCAGCATCGGGCCCARGCTTCKGTCCTCGGGCCGGCGCGTGTTCGAYGCAGGGCTCTTGGTGATCAGAGCTTCTTGTTTCTCACTCAGAGGCCCTGTGGAAAAAAAAAAAAGAATATTATCTGTAAATATCTCCTCAAAAAAATGCCCATCCTGAAGAAATCTGATGGTTGAATCAGAGGGTTTGCCATGGGGAGATAAATGTGATTTGTGTCAGCAGCCATCGTGTTTCAGATTGTTGAATACAGGCTTAGATCAGTAAAACAGATCACTGCTGGTAAACATGGAGATAATACATTTCCCTCTCCATTAATTAATCAACTCCCGAAAAAGCAGCATAAATCAATTCTGGAGGAAAATACCTGTTTTCAGAAAAAAAAACCACAAACCAAAACAAAAAAACAACGATTGAAGACGACTTCCCATCCCTTTCTGGAGTTGCAGGTATTTCATGCTGCTGTTTCATTTCCTGATGTGAGTTGTCTAAAACCTGACAGAAACTCTAAAAGCTTCACTCAGCACTCTGTAAACCCTCATTTTGTTTATTTTGGGGATAATTCAGGGGATCAAAGTGGCATCACAGGTGCAGTTTAAGGAATAAATGTGCACCAGAGAGATAAAACCCTCCAGACTCTTCCAGCACAAACCATATTCAGGAAGAAGATGCCAAGCTYTTCATCTGTTCAGTCTGCTACATCCAAGCTCTCTCATCATCTCTAGACCAATCTTTGGACCAGACAGACGATTTTTCAGCCACATTTTCATTCTCTTGCTACTGTCAAATCAACATTGGGCAACATTTTGTCTGCCGGCGTTTCTCCGAGGATTAGCAACAGATGTCTCAATCARCACAGCAGAAACACAATTTCCCCCTTCTCCTCCGCACAAACACAACCTTTCATCGTGCTCAGATTTAGGTTCTGGGCTGGTAGCACTTGGATTTKTTAAAATTGTGGGGGATAACTTTGCACCTCTGGAAGCACAAGGCAAACAAGCCCTGAGTGTCCTCAGCAGCAGGACTGGAAGATAAATCCTTGATTTCTGAGTGGTCTGGATTTTTTATTTATTCTTTTTTTTTTAAATATAGTCTTACTGAGATCTTCTAACACCAGGCATTTGAGAATTTAATTTTGCTTGACTCCGGGCAAGGAGATTAATGCATCCTTCAAGCCAGATGCCTTTGCTGCTGTTTTTGGCTCTTAATAAAGCAAAAAATGTCCTAAAAGAAGGATAATAACAAAGATGCATGCTTAAACCAGCCAGCAAGCACCTACCCAGATCCAGGAACTGGAACACCATGTGCATGGTGTACCTCATGTTGGATGCATGGTCCTCCAGGCGAAGAACGAGGATCTGATCTTTGTTAAAAACTGTCAGCCAGTCCAGGAGATAAACAACATAGAGCCCAACCTGCAACCTCACCTGCAAGCACAAAAAAAAAAAAACCCAAATTAATTCACCTTACAACACTTTTATCAGTAAAAAAAGAAAAAAAACAACACTCATTTCTGCCAACGGGAGAAAAAAAAATCCCCAAAACGCCCTTTTGAGGAGTAACAAAAAGAAARTGTGAGAATGTTTTTTAGTTTTTCTCTCGTTTTCAAGGCAGCTTGAGGAAAACTTTGCAAGTTTTTCGAAGGGGAGAGATGTCATTTCACCAAGGGCTGGGCTGTGAAGTGCTGCACAGACACAAATATGTGCAGAAGGATGCTTGGCCACCTCTCATCCCACGCTTGGAGCCTTCATGGGGACACCAAGAGCTCTCAGCCCCTGATGAACATCRACTCAAGGGAAGATTCTCAGCCCTGTCATCTTCTCCAGACCCTAAATCTGCYGTTTAATTTTCATTTCACCTTGATTTCACCTTGGGGACGTGGTTTAAGGGTGGGCTTGGCAGTTCTGCRTTAACACCTGGACTCARTGGCCTGARAGGTCTTTTCCAATCTAAATAATTCCACWATTATCAGCAGCACCAGACCATGCTACCCCGAGCAGGACAAATATCCCGACTGATTGTCAGGTATTACATTTGGGTGTATTTTGCTGCATCTTCTGATGGCAATAATTAAATTGGCATCTGAGCTGCAGCAGCTCTGCTGGTGCCTTGTCTGAGTACACAACAATACAGCCAGACCTCGGAGGGGGAAAGACAGATTTTCAGCCTCTCCTGCCCTAATCTCTGTTTTTCTTCCCTCCTCAATTTTACATAACAAGCTGGAACATAAAAAGGGTAGCCTGGTGTTTTCAAAAAGTCCAGCCTCCAACTGCGCTTATAAATATTTTTCTAAATCCCTTCAGGCTCAGAAGAGAGAAACATGAATCCCAGGTCTTAAGCATCTTTCATAAAAGAGACTTAACATCTTCAGCTCGCATTACTGCAGAGCCAATGGAGTCAGACAACAGCGTCCTTCACTTCTGACACTGCCCTGTGACCTGCACTGATAYCAAAATTCCCCTAAAAACACCGTATTTTGAGTTATTGCTAAATTATAATTATCCTGTGTGATTCTGATGCATGTCTTT